CACTTCTTAGAATATACACGAATAATAGATTGCATTCTTACCACAGCTTCGACCGTATTGCTATCGCAAGTCGCATCCAACATCCATCGAATCCGTAAACAAACATATCCGCGAATAGATTAATTTTAAGCTTCTCGGCAAGATTTACCATTCGAAGAGCAATTAAGAACGACGATTACAAATAAGCATCCTTAAAGCCCGTTCTACGTAGAAGGGACGCACTCTATAAAGAAGGGGCAGTTAATTCCTTGGATTAGCAAGCAGTCGATCGGAATTTTTAATGAAGCCGAGCGTAAACGAAGGCTAAAGCGAACGAGGCAGCCAATTATCGCTTAACAACAAGAGCAATCGCACACCTACATTCGCTACTCTGCTGTCAGACGTAATGGCCGTGAGTTATGATACTCCGCTTCCCGAAAACAGTCAAAATCTCATCCGATCAGCGTCCAGAGGAATGCCAAGATCGCCTCCTGGATCGGCTAGATCGGGTGAAAGCGCCGTCTCGTACGAGCTGCGGCTCCGTGTAAGGGAAGACGTTGGTCGCGAAGGGCGATGAGGGAGGAGCGGAGGGGGTGGTTGGTTGGGTGGGGTGGGATAGGACGAGGGGGGTGTGTGAGGAGAGGGACATGCGCGTACGTATGTGGCTGGGAACAAAGGTAGTAAAGGTCACCGAACACCGCGCGAGCCTTTCCCCCGCCGAAGGTGAGCGCGGCCGATTTCCTGGAGCCAAGCCATGCTAAGTAGGGGGCCGGGGCGGCGCAATGGCACTCGCTAGGAGGCAGGAAAGAACACGAGTATGCGCCCGCACCCGGCCAAGTTCAAGAGCGACCTATCCGAACTTTCGCGCTTGTCCGCGTCCACGCGCTTTGTGCGCGCTCGAGTCGCCCGGTGGTGGGAGTACGTCCGAGGATCAGGGGCCCCGGTATATAAGCCCCGACGCAGGCTCACCTGGACATCATTGTACTCACGTTAATACCGACAACCTTTTCAACAATACAATGGCTTTCAAGGTGTGTAGTCAAGTTCAGGCCAAGCCCGAGTTCCTTCCGCCAAGGGCTTGCGCGGCTACTTTTTATCTTACTGCGCGCGCTACAGCGATAAGGACGCGCCCCCGCCTTCTCGGGAGCATTTCTCACGTATTTTGAACTTTGGCGGGCATAAGTAGACGCTTTAACCAAAGTATTCAATGTAATTTTCGAAGCATTTTTGCATTTACATCGTCAACTAATCAATTCGAATTTGTATTGTCTAGCACGACATTTATCATATCGTTGGTTTATCGTATCAATGATACTTATTGTAGAAGCCTATCGTGCGCCTTGTATTCGCGAGAATAAATATTTTGCCTCAATACGCAACCATGTAGTTTCATATTATTACATTACAAGGCGTGGAAATTAACTCTCAAGTTTTTCAAGTTAACAGAAAAGAAAATAAGAGGGAAAAATCAATTAATAACTTAACGATAATTATAATTACAGAATACTATTTTAAATTGAATTAAATTACATTAGCTCGTATTTAATATTTAATTTAATTACATAGAGTTACTCGCGAACGATTAAATTAATTATAAATTTGTAAGTACATGGATACATTTATTAAGCTGGGCAAATGGTCGAAAGCTAATGTTCTCCCCATACAGTAACTAATTTTTAAATTCAAAGCACGCAACAAGTTTAAGCAAAGTATTGACATTATTAGTTCCTTAAATTATCAATAATACGCATAATTCACATTTGAAAGGCTATTCATTACGAGGATGTTCGAGCCACGCGACCGACCATAGTTTTCATAGTTACTCCTGCGAATATCGCTCGGTCAATTATTAAAGCCTGAATAATACAACGACCCTAACGCTCATGAACTCTTCAAATTTTCAGCTAATCATCGTCGTGGCTATCCTGGCTTATGCCAATGCCAGCTTAATCCACGGCCCGGCCCTGGCTTATGCCCCGGCGCCGGCTTACGCCCCAGCGATTCACGCGGTCCACGCGGCTCCGGTCGCCTACGCAGCCGCTCCCGTGGCCAAAGCCGTCATCGCCAAGACCATCGACACCGAGTACGACCCCCACCCCCAGTACTCTTACGCGTACGACGTAGCGGACTCGCTGACCGGGGACTTCAAGAACCAGCAGGAGACGCGTGACGGCGATGTCGTGCGCGGGAGCTACTCGCTTCTGGAGGCTGACGGCACGAGGCGGGTCGTCGACTACGCAGCCGACCCCATAAATGGCTTCAACGCTGTCGTCCGCAAGGAGCCTGCGGCCGTTGCCTTCGCTGCCCCGATCGCCAAGCTCGCCACCCCTGTCGCGAAGATCGCGGCGCCCCTGACCTTCTCCGCGGCGTACGCGGCGCCGGCCTTCGCCAAAGCCTACTACTAAAGCTCGAGGAGCCACCACCGCGACACCCGATACATTCATCGCGTCATCTCAACACCAACACACAGACATTCCTTTCTTACATCGGCAGATTATTAATTTATTGAATAACACTCGTACACGATTACATGCCCAATGACAATGTGCGTCAATAATAAAAATTTTTTATTTCAAACAAATATAACGACTTGTCTGTGTTTATGCGTGGGCGCTTTTTTGTCACCTGCTAACTCCCGCATTGCGATCCTTGGAGGTCTTTCACGCATTTCCTTTTAAATAAGCTAAGGCATTGAGCTCAAATAAGTAAAATGATAAATGCATTATGATTTATTCTTACCCAAAGCTATAGTGGCATAAATAAATAATTTTTAGATAAAAAGAAATTTTGCCTTTATTTACATGATGCAAGCAAGACGATAAATCTTATATTATATCATCATGCTTAACGGTAGCCATTTATTAACAAATCAATTAATAATATGCACCGTATAAAGCAGCTTTGTTATTAATGTTTCGAATAAACTTCCAAATTAATATTAGTAGTTATCATTGAAATTTGTTAATGTTCTTATTCGCTTTAATGTCAGTCACATTAAGATAGATTCGTAGAATATTGGTCTATTCTCCTTAAAAGAGCGATTGTAGTTCTTCTCGTGGTATCGTGCAGAATTTTATATTTCTAAAATTCTCTTATAGATATTAATTGTTTGTATTTGATTTGATTTTACTTCTAAACATTAGTATATAATGTCAGTATGAATTAATAAGCCTTTTATTATTTTTATAGTTACTTATATCTAAAGAAATATTTTCATTCCACTAAAGGATATTATTGCATTTATACTAAGGAAAGAAGTAATATATATATAAGATGATTTATCTCTAGCATTAATTTAATAAATTAAAATGCAATTGAGATATATTCTTTGGATAAAGTTTATTCTAGAATAATTTACAGATATTAAATAATAATAGAAACTTTATAAATGCCTAATTCCTTATAGATATTGTATCAATGAATTTTATGATTACAATTTAACTAACATTTAATCAATGTCTACTAATGCATATATATATATATATATATATATATATATATATATATAATAACAGAGATATAATGTAGAATCGTGATATTTTAATAATTTATAAAATTCATATATATAAGAACTTTTATTTTTAATAAAACATAAATAGATACAATTTTTTTTGTTGTTTTTTTGAACAATATCAATTTGTTCAATTTAGAAAGAAATGTATAAAAAAATGTACGACATTAAAAATTATTTAGAAATCGCTTTTTAATTAGTTAGTGTAGTAAAATATAGAATATATATACACAAATAAAATATAAAAAATAAATATGACGTATATGAACAACTATAAAGTATTGTCATTTTATAGTTTACTGATACTTTAGTTTATTATAAATTTAGTTCAATATATTCTCATAGGAACTCTTATTAAGAGACTTTTTTTATGGATAAAGTTTCGAGTCAAATGATGCAAAATACTAAATATTTGAATGCTTGTCAAAATTAGTCGATCAAATTATCAGAACATTTTTTAAAATGTATTCGCATATTGCTGGCACACTGCACACATTAGAAATTCAATATTTTGCAAAGTTACTGAACAATGTATGAATATTGTAATGATAATTATCGTAAAGCATGGCAAACTTAGAAAATAATGAATTTATTCATTTACATTCCAAGTATTAACCAATGCAGTTAAATTGAAGCACCCATGCTATCGTTATACTCTCGTATAATAAAGTCTCCCACGAAAAGAATGCAAATTTTAACGAAGACATGTCACTTTAAAATTAGTTTCGTGAGTGATCGCTACAATGCCATGATTATTACAAACTTATTATAGTGGCGTACTTTACTCAAATTTTTTCCTCCAAGCACGACACGAACAAGCATCTTCCCATAACTGTCCAAGTCAAGCATAAATCTAACGATTTTTATCTCCGGCTATGCGCATCTCTGCCTAAGCGCATCGACTCCCCTACGATCCTGAGCCCTTAAAATTTACAGCCTCGCCGTAGCAACGAAAGAGCGCGAAGACAATAATTCAGACCGGAAAATAAATGGTAACTCGTACGCCAAAACGTACGCACGCGTCGGTACGAATATCGTAAAGAAAGTCGCGCCCCCTCGTTCTCCGTAAACAGCTTGTACTTGAAAAGGCCCCTTGTTCCCTTTCGCGGTTTAGGTCGCATTCCACGATGTCGTGGTTCGCTTGCGTCGAAACGCGGGCGTCCTTGGGCGCTTTATAAAATTGCCGACGTTTTTATTTAGCCTCTTTTTTGCGTAAGTGGGCAGCAGACGTCGAACCACGCCCGGAAAGAAAACTCGCCTTTCTCCACCTGCGCAGCCACTTGGGAGCAAATCCTCGTATTCGTAACCTCTACGTAAGGACGCGCGCGATAAAGGAATTATTTTAGCTAGATGCCTGCGATTATTTTTGCTGATTTTTGAGGATTAATGTGTTATTCGGATACATTGCACGTATTATTTTTATTCTTAAGTGATTACAGTTGTTGCATTTAAGCCATTTATCGATGTAACTTAAATATTAATATGTATGTATATGATGTTTTTGTCGTTATGAAATTATTTATCTGATCCCATGTTTCAAATATTTGCTTCGTATTATCGTATTATTGTACGTGATTTTCTACAATTTATTTTCAACTCATTATTTTTAATCATTAATTATTATTTAGTTTTCGTTTCAAACAAAAAAAAAACAAAAAAACAAAACATATATCTCACAACTATCATTACTATTTTAATTTATTTATAATATATATTTATATAATATTGTGTAGATTATTTTTATTACCATTAAGAGTTAGTTTCACATTTATATTTCATAATTTGTAATTTTTAATTGTCAAAGGATTATTCTCAGTATATTTATGTTATATTTAAGGTTCATTTTTTTTCATTTTTTTTTTACAATTTATTCATATGAAGAATAATCAGACGATATAAATTTAAACTTTAATTCTATAATATCTCCAATGATCATATATAATTTTTAAATCAAGTTTAAATTAAAATCACTTGTTAATAGTACATCGTTAATATCTTTCGAATAAAATATTTGAAAACAAAGATTAGAATGAAATATTTTCAAATAATTAAAATATTTTTACAATTACATTTGAAGTTTTATTTATATTCAATATTAATGATTGAATATTAAAAAATTAAATTTTTATTCTAAAATTTAGACGTCATTGCTCTTACATTAGTATATTTACATAAGCTATTCATGCAATAATAATAATCGACTTAGTAATAATTAAAATTCATTTGAATAAACTTTTTACCGTAGAAATACATAATCACGTTAATTTTTATTATATATTTATTGAAATATCGAAATTATCGTATTATTGTATTATATAAGTTAATTTTCATAATGTAATTCTATAAATTAATATAGTTACAGTAAACTATCGTTTATGTTACTGTTTTACAGTGCAAAAGTAAATTAACTTAATACATAGAAAGATTTTTTAATTTTGATATATATACAATTAGTTTATATCGTACGTTTACCGCAAGAATATTAAGTTATTTAAATGATATATCGTGAAAAAAATATCGACCTATTGTATTATTGGTTTTTTATTATGTGCAATGAATTAATATCGTTTAAAATTTCGATCAACGCATTAATCTGAAGTGAAATTAAAGTTTTCGAATAATTATAATCGAAATAGGCACAGTAACATTATCATATTAATTATCAATGGTGACACGAACTTATATAATATCCGATTACTTTCTAATACGTAGTAAATCTTCTTTTAATGTACTGTTATATATATATATATATGTATATATATATGTTGTAAGAGTGATAATGTAACATTCTTGCTTTTTTTTTGTTTAAAATACGTAAAACATATTATGATATGTGTATGTACCTCACATTCAAGACTTTATTGTATTGTAGAAATGTCAATAAACTCGATGAAATATCAATAAGTAATACACTAATACAAAAAACTACGTACTTCAAGATTTAGATAAATAGTTTGAATTATCTTCGCATCCGTGAATAATTGTTTCATTACTGTTTATTGAGTTTCTTTTTCTTTTCGGTAGTCTTTTTATATTATAATATATTTAAAAAGATAAGCATTAACAAATTTCATGATTGCTGAGCAAGAGATTTTAATTGTGACATTATAACTTTTGAAGTTTTTGTTAAACTGTTTAATTTTTATTGTTCAAATTTGAGACAACCAATAAACATCGTTGATTTTTACGCAATAGTTAACTATTCAATGGATATTAATAGAAGCTACAGGGAATTTTAAGATGAAAAATGGATGTAAGTTAATACAGAAAAAGTATTTCTTATTTGTTTGGATAATAAAAGTTTCCAAAAGATCAATAATTCGATCTGAAATTTATAACTAGTAATTACAGACACTTTGTAATTTATTATTTTAATATTATTAAATTAAATACATAATTATAAATAATAAGAATGGACAATGTATTTTTAATATTAAATTTACATATCATTGGACTATATTATTGAATTTGTCATTCTTTAATTTTGAATTTTTGATTTCGAAGAAAATCGTCAAATTTTCCCTGCATATTTTAATTTTTATTAATAGGTTTTTAATCAATTTTCTTTGAATTTTAATTAAAAAAAAATCAAAATAAATAAATCGATCATTAGACAGTTTTAACGGCATTTCGACAATAATTCAAATATAATTTATAACCAATCTACGAAAAATAAATTTCAGTAATCTAATTAGAATATTTTCAAAGAATTTAATGGAATGTTCTTGCGCACATATGAGTATTCGTTTTCAATATATAAGATAACGACCATATTTACACAATTATTTAAGCGCTCTGAGGGTATTTACGGCCATGTTATTTGCGAGTGGTTCACGAGTTAAATAATAGCTGCGTTAAAAGCTTTTGTTAGTCCCTTTATCCTTTGTTATCTTAGTACCGCGTTTCTTTACCTCAGAAGGCGCATACGAATATACTCGAATGTACAGTTAAAACACGAGAGTTAATTTCTGAGCTCCAAAAAGTAAAGCTCGATAATGTACATAATGAGCGCCCTGCAGAATCACAACTGGAACATAAACCTGCACTGCGGCACCTCGTG